GGCTACTCTCCCAGGAAACAGTCCTCATCCTCCGCAAAATGCGCTGCACACATCTGAATATTTGGGTTGAAGTGTTCTGGAACAGTGTTGTAAATACAACTTAACCACTGATTTCTAGTGGTGTCCTCTTTTGGAAGACCAAACCAAGTAGTTTCGCTTTCACAACGAAACACAGCGCGTTCACGACATGGCGGCGGCAACAACGATACTACAGTGAGAATAAAAGTTACGCCTTCTTTCTTTGCGTGAACATTTGGGCGGTGTTATGCAAATCTTCCCACATAGTGATGTAGGTATGTGGGGGCGTGTTAGAACGAGCCGTTTTAGGTAGGTGTGGCTGACTCTTAACTTTGATAAAGAATATCTCTTTGGATTTGAGACTTTAGTCTTTCAGATCTTCTTTATGCACCAAGAGCTTGTAACACTCCAAAGAGAAAGGAAAAATTTAAATCGCATCATATGACCCCTTTAAAAGGAAAAATATAATATATACAGTATGCTGTAATTTTTTTAGTTGAGGAACAGATGACTTGTATTTTTGAGCTAAATAATGGGAGCAGAGAAGAGACTAACTAAATTATCCTGTATTATCTTGTATAGTGAAATATAGACCATTAAGTTTGCAATTTCAGTGACATGTTTTTCTGTCACAGAAAATGCTGACGCTTTTGTGAAATTCTTTGCTGAAATTTAAGCATTTTTGCTGTTTTTCTCATGCTCTTCTGATCCCCCTGTGGATCTTTTCACTTCTTTCTCCCTCTAATTAAACACCATTTCATTTTTCATTTCTCCTTGGATGATAAATCAGGCTATTTTTTATTTTTATCTAATGAAGCCTTTTTAGAATCTGCTTTACATGCAGTGCAACAGTCTGTGTCTCTTTTTGGAGTCATTTCGGTCTGTTTGTGTCTATATCTAACTATTTTCAAAGAGGCTGACTGCTTTTCTTTTTCTCTTTCGCAAAGACACTTGTTTGACTCTTTCGTTTTTGAGATATTAAGGCAATATGTTGTTTATGTTATTATTGTTTTACTCTGATTGTTATGCTGTTGAACTGCCTTGGCAAAATGTAACCGGTTCAATACAAATTACGCTCTATGTACATGCTGTCGATTTTCCACAGAAAAGGGGGAATGTGTTGTGGCGGCATAAACTGTAAAATACATACTTACAGAAATTATAGCTACTGTATAAGACATGACACTATCATGATAGAATTGCTTACTAACTTTGTGAAATGTATATATGCCTGTCGATAGAGCTTAACTTGTACACAACCCAGAACATTGCTTCCAAAGGACTGGGCTGGTGGCAAAGTCTGTGTGTGTTGTTGTGTTGTAAATGAAAATGCCTTTATATGTGCGTATGTATCCAGGTGCACTTCAGATTGATCAGAGTGAAGAAACTGATCAGGGTAAATACGAGTGTGTCGCGACCAACAGCGAAGGAACGCGCTACTCCGCACCAGCTAACCTTTACGTCAGAGGTACAGCTTTGAGTTACTTAACTGAGTGCTGTAGAATCAGAAAATAAAACCTGTAACTAACACATTCTTATGAATAGATACAGAGAGTCTGTGTAGTCTGATCTGTCTGATTCTTCTTAGATCATCTGTTCTTAGCTTATTCATTATTTGTTTATTTTTCCTTGTTGGCTCATTTCTCACTGCCGGACTCCTCTGTAGAGTTAAGAGATGGTAAGTGCTCTTCTTCTCAAATCCAACGCTCTGTTTCTTACTCTAATCTAAGTCTCAGACTCTCACATCCACATAATCCTTCCCCTCCACTGGGATTCCGAACTCACTCTCCAGATCCTAATACTGCATACTGTATGTCATTTGACATTAATCCGCCATTTTTCACCTGATCCTATACCGCATTCCATAACATCATGCTAATTGCAAATGATATCATAGTAATGCCGTGCACTCACCTGTCCATCGGAACAAAAAAAAATACAATTTATTGCATGCATTTAAGTTATACAGTGACATTGCAGCACCATAATTTTCTGTATTTTCACAATTTATAAGCAGGGGAGAGAAGGGTAAAGATTTGTTTCCAGAAAAAAATCAGATGCAGTAGATGTAAAATTAATTATATAGCCATTAGAAATAATTCTAAAGCATTTATTATTCTTAGTTATTGTTAATTTCAACCTTTACTGACATTATTAAAATCAAAAGTTTTGTTAGTTATATTACAGTGATACATTTATATATTACATGAAGTTATATTACATTAAATAAATTATATTATTTAACAGTCCTGAGCTAACATGAATTAACCATTTTTTTTAATACAAATATGATTTAGAATACAATTTCAGATGAACAAATAAAATATGAAAAAATAGAAATCTAACGTAAATGAGAAAACTAACAAAAATGACTGATGCTTCCCAGTTTTATTTTGTATATTATTAGCATTTTCATAAAGCAGACTTGAATTTTTTTTTTTTTACATTTAAATGACAAACTCAGTATCACTGTCTGGCACACTTTACCCCACAAGTACCATTTTCAGAAAAATTGTCTTTTAATTCTCCATTGCTAATCCTTAGCTAAATTTACCTGATTTTGTACTCCAGCAATTCACCAACTTGTATAATATATATTTTTAAACCTGGATAAATTTGCTTTGACATTAAAATAATTTTAGTTGGCATGTAGAATTTGACTCTAGAATAAAAAAAAACGTGTATCACTTTTCTCATGCGCACCTCTTGGTCACTGGCAGCTGTATTTGATGGGTCCTTTCTAATTATATAGTCACGTCACAAAAATTATGCAAAGTCTGGCACATTAAAAAGGAGACACAGCCACATCTTATCCCAGTCTTCTCTACAACACAGATTGATAACCTGCAGCGCACAACATCTTGAGGGCGTATCTTATTAGATGCAATGCTCTCTGTAGCATTAATAATGTCTTTAGCATGAATTAATAAATGGCTCACTGTCTTTCACACCCTCAGTGCGTCGCATCCCTCCTCGCTTCTCAGTGCCACCGATGGATTATGAGATCATGCCGGGAGGAAGTGTGAATATTTCCTGTCAGGCAGTGGGCGTTCCCATGCCATATGTCAAATGGATGCTGGGATCAGAGGATCTGACTCCAGAAGATGACATGCCTATTGGGCGGAATGTTTTAGAGCTCACAGATGTACGCCAGTCTGCCAACTACACGTGTGTGGCCATGTCGACTCTCGGAGTTATTGAAACCGTTGCCCAGATCACAGTTAAAGGTACGCAGGAGTGATGTTAAAAGACTCTTTGAAAATGCTTAATGTTATTGAAGAAAGAGAAACCATTTAGTTAAGCAATATGTTCCATGGGCAGAGCCAATATTTAGGAAGCAGGGTGGCTGATGGTTGTTCCAAAGCCTAGTGAGCTACCTTGCTGTCTAATGCCTGGCTAACTAAAGTCGACGACTTGGAACACTCTTCAAAGGCAACAACTCACTCTGAGAGCACACAAAATCAACATTTCAACATTATTTGTTTGACTGAGCTTGTTTCAGTGCATTGAGATTGCCTTCCCTGTAAAAATAAAAATAAAAATCAATTTCTGCTTTTGAATTTGGCCAAAAATAGCTTTTTAGGAGGCAGTATAATTGCTGCCTTTTGGAACAACCTTCACATTAGTTCTGTAATGCCTTAAATTGCTACCATATGTGATGTAATTTAATGATACTAAATGAAAATGATAAAAAAAATGTTTTTTTTGTACGTTTTAGAAAGTAGTCTCGTATGTATGATAAATATGCAGTAAAACAGTTATATAGTGTGAAATATTATTGATTTAAAATAACAGTTTTCTATTTTAATATATTGTAAAATGTAATTTATTCCTGTGATGCAAAGCTGAATTTTTATGAGCCATTACTCCAGTCTTTGGTGTCAAATGATCCTTTAGAAATCATTATAATATGTTGATTTGATACATTCTTCTTATTATTTTATGTTATTATATTTTAAGTTATATAAAATTATATATATTAGTGTTGTCAAATGATTAATCGCGATTAATCGCATCCAAAATAAAAGTTTTTGTTTACATAATATATGTAAGTGTACTGTGAAGATTTATTATGTATATATAAATACACACACATGCAGTATATATATTGAAAATATTTACATGTATATACATTTATATATTTATATTCTTATATTTTATATTATATATAAATATATTTAATATATAAACATAACATATTTTTCTTAAATATATACATATATATATATATATATATAAGTCTGTAATGTCACGTTTGATCAGTTTAATGCACGCTTGCTTAATAAAAGTATAAATGCATGTTACTGACCCCAGATGTTTGAACTTTTTTCACTTAAATATGTTTATTATTAAATGTTTATTTAATATTTAAAATCAATTTCCCCTAATTTATCCATCTCTTCCTTCCTTCCGTAGCCCTTCCCAATCCTCCAGGAGCTCCAGTTGTCATGGAGCGATCTGCCACCAGCATTACTCTAATGTGGGACAGTGGAAATCCACTTCCTGTATCATATTACATCATCCAGTATCGTCCCGCCTCCTCCACTGACCCCTTTAAAGAAATTGATGCCATAGCAACAACTCGTTACAGCGTGGGTGGTCTCAGCCCCTACTCACACTACCATTTCCGGGTTATGGCGGTGAATTCGATCGGCCGCGGCTCACCGAGTCAGACCGTGGAAGCTCGCACGGCCGAACAGGCGCCGAGTTCCCCTCCTCGTCGCGTCAGAGGTCGGATGCTGAGTGGTTCCACGGCGATGATGCAGTGGGAGGAGCCAGAGGAAGCCAACGGTCAGGTGGTTGGTTACAGGGTGTATTACACGTCAGATTCGTCGCTGCCTGTGAGCCAATGGGAGAAGGAAATGGTTCGAGGGGTCAATTTTTTGAACATACAAGACCTGACACCGAACAAAACCTATTATATTAGAGTTCTAGCCTTCACCGCAGTGGGAGATGGACCTCTTTCCAGCGATCTGCACATCATTGCCAAAACAGGAGGTGCGCAGAATGTGAAGTTAGGATTATTTTATAGATTCTAATATTGCAGCTTGTTTTGTTTCTGTTGCATCATTCTCTAAGCATCATCTTTCTTCCTCCTCTCATTTCTAGTCCCATCCCAACCCACAGAGCTGAAGGCAGAGGTGAAATCAGAGACCAGCATTCTTCTGTCGTGGATCCCTCCTGCTCACAGCGGTACAGATGCCATCACTGGCTATGAGCTCATTTACAGGCTTGGAGACCAGCCAGAGCAGGTACACACAGACACACATACAAAGCGTTTTCATTTTTGTAGTGTCTGGTTTTATGCTAATAACTTTAACCCTCTATCTTCCAGAAAATATCATTTGATCCCAGCTCCAGTTATCTGCTGAAGAATCTGAAGCCGTTTTCCACTTACATATTTCAACTAGCAGCACGCAGTAAACACGGCCTAGGGGCGTTCACCAGTGAAATCACAGTTCAGACTCCACAAACACGTATGTACTGTGCAGACTGCAGACAGTTTGGGGTCTTTTTTGGAAGAAGTTATTATTTTTATTTTTTAAAGGATTAGTTAAATTGATCAAAAGTGGCAGTAAAGACATTTGTGACCCGGAGCACAAAAGCAGTCTTAAGTCGCTGGGGTATATTTGTAGCAATAGCCAAAAAAACATTGTATGGGTCAAAATGATCAATTTTTCTTTTATGCCAAAAATCATTAGAATATTAAGTAAAGATCATTTTCCATGAAGATATTTTGTAAATTTCCTACCGTAAATATATCAAAACTTAATTTTTGATTAGTAATATGCATTGCTAAGAACTTCACTTGGACAACTTTAAAGGTGATTTTCTCAGTATTTTTATACTCAGTATTTTGCACCCTCAGATTCCAGATATTCAAATAGTTGTATCTCGGTCAAATATGTCCTATCGTAACAAACCATACATCAATGGAAAGCTTCTTTATTCAGATTTCAGATGATGTATAAATCTAAATTTTGAAAAATTGACCTTTATGACTGGTTTTGTGGTCCAGGGTCACATTTATAATGTTATAAAAGAATGCTGCCCTTTTGAACTTTGTATTAATCAAGAATCCTGAAAAAAAAGCATCACGGTTTCCACAAAAATATTAAGCAACTGTTCTCAATATTGATGATAATAAGAAATGTTTCTGAAGGATCTTGTGACATCAAAAGCTGGAGTATTTCATAGGAACAAATTGCATTTTAAAGTATATTAAAATAGTAAACAGTTATTTTACATTGCAATAATATTTCACAGTATTACTGTTTTTAATTATTGCTTGTTACTGTGAAAGCAATACACTAAACTGAAAACAGCTGTCGGGTTAATGAAAATTCGAGTGAATTTAGTTGGTAACTCTCCAACGCTGGTCCACACACTCACGTATAACACAAAGCAGTCTGCTTTTGGTAATGTCACCATTCCTGTCTAACAAAGTGATAGATGTAGGTGGATGGGTTAAGTGTAAAGAGCAGGTGGGAGCATGAGACACTCAGTGAAAGGATCTGGAAAGAGGGAGTCAAACAAGTAAGTTTTATGTTAAATGTATTTGTTTTTTTATGTCAGTTCACCATATGTGGACAGTCATTTGGAGTTTGATGTCTTAATTTATTTTACCACAGCATTTTATGTGTCTATTTCGTCCTTTTATGTCTTTTTTTTTTCTTCTTCTTCTTCTTCTCTGATTTCATGTCCTTTCCACACATTTACATTCACAACAACACTAAAACTAACCATCGCTGCCTCAACACATGATTAAACCCGCCCACTTCTCTAACCACCCAATCAGAGTCCATACCCCCTCCCCAGGAAGTTACATGCATAAGCCCCTCCTCCACAAGTCTATTGCTCAGCTGGGCTCCACCCCTCACAGATGAAAATGGAAGCATAACAGGATACTCCATCCGATATGTGGCTGTGGAACGGGAGAAAGATCTCATACAAAGGATCTCAGACATCCCGTCTAACTGTTTCCGGTACCGGATAGAGGGGCTGAAGAAAGGGACCCTGTACTCTGTAACAGTTGCTGCCTACACTGACACAGGTCAAGGGCCCGAGAGCCTACCGATATTGATCCGCACAGAGGAAGACGGTATGTCTATATGACAGTATCTTAATTTGACCCTTGACCTGAAGCTAAACCTACCAAAGACACATTTGTCCTCCCAACATTTGCCTTGTCCTGAAACAAGTGAATGCAGTATTCCTGACTTCCCAAGACCCTCTTTGGATTTCCTGCTTTAAGGATTTTTCCATAGATAATTGCTTTTTTGTCACCCTGCTCAGATCCCTTTTCATGGCAAAAGCTCTTTCCCAACGAATTGAACCCCGACACCACACCTCTTTTCCTCACCTTTTCTGTCCTTCTCCTGTGAGCTGGAAGGAATGTTCAGCTGTGACTGCATGTCCTTTACTAAAATGCCCCTTTAGTGCCCAGCGCACCGCCACGGGGTGTGGATGTGGTGGTCTTAAACGCCACCTCTGCCAGAGTGTCATGGAAACCTCCAGTTGCTGAGCGACAGCATGGAAGGATCCGTGGTTACCAGGTGACATACGCCAGACGAACAGCAGGGGAGAGAACAGTCTCTCCTAGAATTAGGGAACTCCTACTGCGAGACCCACAGGTAGGAGACTTCACCTCACTGACACACACACACACACACACACACACACACACAAATACACTTATGAAGTCAGTATGTGCTGCAAACCTTCTTTAGAAATGTGGTGTTTATTTTTGGCGAGTTGTTCTCACTATGACATATTTTAATCAAGAACTCTCAAAAATGAAGCACAACTACTTCACTCTTTTGACTTTGTGAGGGTGGTTTCCCTACAGTGGTTCAGGCTGTAGGATTGCCGAAGGACTAAAGAAACGATGGTACAAAACTGGACTTTTCTTGTCTATTACGATCCACTGCTACTTATACAAACGATGGAAATAAGCGCACTTAGAATAGCCAAATATGTGGGAGAGCGGTGCTATTGTGTGACTATTGTATTGCAATAGGTTGCACTTCAATGTTAACATTGAATCAAGACTAGTTAGCACATAATTTATAATTGAAATGGTTTAATAACAGTATTTCGTTACGGTTACACTTGAATTGGTTACAAAATGGATGAAGGATGATAAAACACATAATTAATTGCACCCAACATGTAGGTGAAATATTACGGAAAGAGAGAGAGAGAGAGAGAGAGAGAGCCTGCCAAGAAAAGAGACAGCAAATAATGAAATCATATTAAAAAAAAATTTGGTACACTGCAAAAAAAAAAAAAAAAACGATTGTCCTAAATAACACTACTTTTTTTTCTCAATTTAAATTTGTTCATTCACTAAACACAAAATGCCTAATCCTGCCAATAAAAAAATCAAGGCAACTACAGATTTCTTGATAAAACTAATTTTCAATTAGTAACAATAAATTAATCTATCATTTTGGTAGCCATATATGTAGTTTTATACCGTAGTACAGTTCATGTGTGAAAAGTCTGTTCAGACAACCGTTTGATTAGTTGGGACAATATTTGTCCCCTGTTGGTCTAACGTGGGTTTTTATGTAGTTTCATGCAGTTTTAAGGATTTGTGACACAAAAGATCATGTAAACTTGAAAATATGTATTATATGTATTTATGTTTTTTTATGTATTTACAGTGTATTCAAGTCTAAATGTTTTCTTTTTTTATATATATATATATATGTAAATACATAATTTACTGCTAGCTAATTGTTTTGTTAATAAGTGCAAGGTTTATCCAACTTAATCAGTAAAAACTTGAAAAATGCCAATAAAAATTCACTCCATCGCATATATCAAAATGAACCTGATCAATGTGATAATCAAATGTGTAATATCAAATGTGATAAATATTTTGATCAAGGACATATGATAAATATTTTGATCAAGGACATGTGATGAATATTTTCATACAGTTGAAACATAGTTTGAAGATGTTTTTATTTTTCAAGGTCTCAAGTAGTGCCACTAACTGAAGGATCACTCACATATATTAGAAATATGATGCAGATCCCATCTATCACTTGATCTGGACGAGTTGTTTGTTTGCCAGTAATTAGGCTTCTTAGCTCAGCTAATGCTCTCTAAATGGACTTTAATGTGATCAGATCAGATAACATCAGTATCTGCTTATTATCCGCATGCTAAGACAGAACCTCTGATAACAATCTCAAAAACGAACCACCATGTAATTGTTCCAGTGAACCTTTCACACTATTTATTCTCAGTAGACCATTATTCATTGTGTTGTTGCGAATAATCATATTACATCTTGGCATTTACATCAATTTTAACTATTTGTGTCTTGTTTTTGTAAACAGCCACAGAACGACTCGAAACAATATGTGAGTATATCTACTTTGAACATGACCCAGAATTTTAATACGTATATTTACATGAATAAAAGTCTTGGTTATGCCTTCAGGCAGCTATATTTTATCTTGTCAGTAGGCATGTAAGGCTTCTATACTTGAATGGGAAAAATGGAATCTAAAAAAATGGAATCTGATAACTTTTCAATAACGTGAATCAAATCAAATCGATAAGATAACAATAATATAAAAAAAGTAGCTTCTATAGCTGCTGTACTAAAATAAAACGAACAGTCTCTCTGTCAAAATGTTACTAACTCCTTTAACTGAGAGGTCAGACATCCATATATTGAGCATTGCGATTTCTCCTATTAATTTTGCAACAATTTCTTGTCCTCCTCCTTATTCAGTCTCTGATATGAATACAGACTATGTGGTGCAGTAGGACATTTGTTTTTTTAATAAGTGTTTTAGTACGGTGTGTTGGTGTTTATTAGGACCTGATTTTGACCGATTTGTGGCCGAACACTGAATACTCTGTGACTGTGATTTATTCTCAGTAGACCATTATTCATTGTGTTGTTGCGAATAATCATATTACATCTTGGCATTTACATCAATTTTAACTATTTGTGTCTTGTTTTTGTAAACAGCCACAGAACGACTCGAAACAATATGTGAGTATATCTACTTTGAACATGACCCAGAATTTTAATACGTATATTTACATGAATAAAAGTATTGTTCCAGTGAACCTTTCACACTCTTTATTCTCAGTAGACCATTATTCATTGTGTTGTTGCGAATAATCATATTACATCTTGGCATTACATCAATTTTAACTATTTGTGTCTTGTTTTTGTAAACAGCCACAGAACGACTCGAAACAATATGTGAGTATATCTACTTTGAACATGACCCAGAATTTTAATACGTATATTTACATGAATAAAAGTCTTGGTTATGCCTTCAGGCAGCTATATTTTATCTTGTCAGTAGGCATGTAAGGCTTCTATACTTGAATGGGAAAAATGGAATCTAAAAAAATGGAATCTGATAACTTTTCAATAACGTAAATCAAATCGATAAGATAACAATAATATCAAAAAAGTAGCTTCTATAGCTGCTGTACTAAAATAAAACGAACAGTCTCTCTGTCAAAATGTTACTAACTCCTTTAACTGAGAGGTCAGACATCCATATATTGAGCATTGCGATTTCTCCTATTAATTTTGCAACAATTTCTTGTCCTCCTCCTTATTCAGTCTCTGATATGAATACAGACTATGTGGTGCAGTAGGACATTTGTTTTTTTAATAAGTGTTTTAGTACGGTGTGTTGGTGTTTATTAGGACCTGATTTTGACCGATTTGTGGCCGAACACTGAATACTCTGTGACTGTGGCTGCGTTCAACTCAAAAGGCGATGGAGCACGCAGCAAACCTACTGTCATCAGAACTAAGCCATCATGTGTGTACACACTCCTACATAAATACATGTTAATGATTGGTATACACACTTGTTTTTATCTTTATCTCAATGTTAAAGAGAATGGTCACCCAAAATTGGAAATCATTTACTTACCCTCATATCATTCCAAACCTGTATAACTTTTTTTTCTCTCCACGGAACACTAAAGGAGAAAATGTGAGGATTGCTCTTATGCTCTTTTCAATGGTATTCTTCCTTTCCTGTGCTATTAACCACTGCGACTGGATATTGAGTTAATTTTTTTGACTTGTAAGCTGTGAGTTCAACTGTTCGATTCATAAATGAATCATTCAGACCAATTTTGTGAACCGGATCAAACGATTCACTGAATAGATTCTAAATAATTATTTTCCAACAAATCGGACTACTTCTATTAACATAAAAATGTGCCAAGGAAAGCAATGGTGGATGTCAAGATTTTTAGCGAATATCACTGAATATTGAGTCTTTTCGAATTATAAGATGTATAAACGAATCATTCAGACCAATTTTGTGAGCCGGATCAAACGATTCACTGAAAAGATCTGACTCGAGAGAATTATTTTCCAACGATAAGAGTACTGCTATTAACTTAAAAATGTGCCTAGGAAAGCTACGGTGGATGTTTAATTTTTTCAGTGAATATCTCAGGATATTGAGTCAGTGAGTTCAACTTTTTGATTCATAAATGAACGTTCAAACCGATTTTGTGAACTGGATCAAATAATTCACTGAAAATCAGACTACTTCAATTAACTTAAAAATGCACCTAGGAATGTTTTTGTGGATGTCAAGATTTTTTGTGAATATCACTAGATATTGATTCCATGGCATTTCAGTGAGTCATTTTTAAAGGTTGAAATATTCAGTCCCAGTTCATTGTAATTCCATGGAAAAGAGCATTGAAACTTTCTTCTTTTGGGTATTGCACAAAAAAGTCTTCTTTTTTTTCATTTTTGGGTGAACTAATTGTAACCACAAAATCAAGTGTATCACTTAACCCAACACATATCTTAGCTGCAGTGCTACATATTCAGTGTTGATCTACATTATTGTTCTCTACTCCACAGTGCCAGGTATGCCCCTGCTTACAGTCGCACCATCGGAGGATGGTTCTGCTCTACTTAAATGGCAGCCTCCCCCTGCTGGTCTGTCCCCTGTGCTGGGCTACAGGCTCTCATACGGCCAGGCTGACCCGACGTCAGACTCCTTCATGGTGCAGGAGCTAGATGCTGAGAAACGCACCTACATCGTCTCGTCTTTGAGCGCAGGGGTGCTGTACGTGTTCCGTCTTGCGGCCCGTACCATATGGGGTTACGGTTCAAGCGCTCAGGTCACACTTTTAACACCAAACGTGGTGCAAACAACTACAGATGACATGGTAACAGCCCCGGGGACAACAGATGTTCAGAATGTGAGCGTACAGGAAACCATTCCACTTTTGGCCAACTTAACGGCAGAAGGCATCAACTCCTCATCAGTGATCCTGAGATGGGAGCCACCAAAAAGCTCCGACCGGATCCAAGGTTACCGCGTGTGGTTCGCTGTCACCTGTAGTAACGGCACAGACATTGCCATGGAATCGGACGTTTTGGAGGCCACAGTGGTTCTAAATGGCCTAAGGCCAAATACTGAGTATGTGGCGAGAGTGTGCGTACTTAGCAAACACGGCCCTGGGCCCTATAGTCTCCCCATATCCATCAAAACACAACCAGCACAGGAAGGTAGGACTCACGTATATCCTCACACACAAACGTTTACAGTCAGGAAACCCTTACTAAACAAAATCACTTCATTTTCATTACTCTGGAAGGATATTTTCTGTTTTTGTCTGGTCATTTTTTGTCTGTCTTTGTCGGTCTGAGTCTCTTATTCGGTGACGTCCTTTAAGTGCAGATAAAAGGTGAGAATCTTTCTGTAGATGGATCTAGGTGAATGTGGAGTGCTCCATTATCTCATAAGACTACTGTGGTAAAGGTGAGCTCTTGGAAAGGAGTGATGAATTCTTGTCAGCACTGTGAGAAAAAAAGTGACTAGCTCTTTTTTCTCCTGTCAGCCTGATAAATGTGGTAAATGTTTTTAGTAGAAACAGTTGAAAAGATTCTTTAATGTTCTTCATAAATGCTTTAGCAATGGCGGAGGCCAGAGGTTCTGCTCAGGTGAGCTGAAGTATTGATGTGTGATGTGTTGATTTGTTGTTTTTCTCTCTGTCTCTCTTTATTAGTGTTTGCCTTGAACTTCAGAGTGAAAGCTGCTATGAAGAGTTCAGTGCTGCTGAGCTGGGAGTCACGAACCACCAGTAATAAAGCACAGTCTCTCATTGTGAGTACTGCAAAATACAATTTGTTGAACATTTATTGAAAATCTAAATGTGTGCAAAGGTTAAGGAAGTGGTTCTCAAACGTTTTGACTCCAAAATTGGCCATGGGTTCTCTCTCTTTTTTTTTTTCCTATGGGTTTTTATTAGAGCCCGACCGATACATAGTTTTGCCGATATTATCGGCCGATATGAGCCTGTTGCCGATATATCGGTATCTGCGAATATGCCGCCGATATGAACATTTTTTTACAGAACATATAACGCAGATACTTAGTTTGTCCAGCAGAGCACGCTCCATTGTTTGCTACTGGCGACCTGGATGAAACGCTTTTGAAGCTTAAGTCTATGGAAAACCATTGAAACTTTGAACGGAACCCTCTCGGGTGTATGTCTAGAGGCCCGTTTTCGAATGAGACCACCCCCTCGTCGATAGCCCCCGGGGTTTGGGAGTTACGGGTGGTTAAATTTGCGGTCCGGCGCCGACCGATCAAGCGATCCCGGGGGGCTACCGACGCGCGGAGGGTGGCGAGATATGCCGGCGCATTTGCGAGATAGTGACACCAGTCAACACTTTCACTTCAGTAAGGACTTGTTCAGGCAGCAGCATTCAAGCGT